TAGTAGAGACGGGGTTTCACCATGCTGACCAGGATGATCTTGATCTCTTGACCTCATGATCCACCCGCCTCGGCCTCCCAAAGTGCTGGGATTACAGGTGTGAGCCACCGCGCCCGGCCTTAAAAATTTTTTTCTTATATCTATTATATATTTTAATGTAACATGATTATGATATATATAATGTGTATAATATATATTACATGTAATATGTACAATATAATCACAAAGGCATACTGACAGAAAATTTTTTATGGTTTAATTTTTTAATTGAACATATGAGAAGTTTTCTTTCTAGTTAATTAGACCTTGAAAACTTAACTTTTAATGATTATGTGATAGTCTACAAAAATGAATATACTTTATTTTTTTACCCATTTCAATACTATTGAATTTTTATGTTGTTTTCAGTTTTTTATTAGTATAAACATTGACACTATATACATCTCCAAGCTTATTCTGACTCTTTTCAAATCAAGTAAGTGGATTACTGCATCAAAGAATAAGGATATTTGTAAGACTCTTAATTTGCATTGCCAAATTGTTTTCAAAAAGGAGGAACCAATGTATATACACACAAGCAGTGTATTAGAATTCTAAACATTTTACCATTTAGCAAATAAATATTAGGAATACAGTTTCCCTGTTGAGTATCAGTTATCTTTACATTACAGTCTAAACATATTTTATATGTGAGGTATGGAAATGTTACAAAAATTATAAGCCAAGTTTGTGTAAATATTGGAATATTATGGAAATATTACAAAAATTATAGGCCAATTGGAACACCATAGCTATTTCTTACTAAAAGTAACTTTATGTAAAATTATTTTGAGATAACTCTACAGATTAATGCTGTTTTCGTTTTTATGAAGACAAGATTTCTACATATTACATTTTATTAAAATAAAGTACACCTTTGTTCATCTTTGTTCCGAAGCCTGTGGCATTACCAATACCTGATGTTGATATTGATCAGATCATCTCTCTGTGTCAAGCCTTATGCTATGTGTTTTACATGTATTGGCTCATTTAATCACCTCGACAATCCTAAGAGGCATGTGTTAATTACTATTATCACTGTTTTACAGATGAGGACACTGAAGCTGAGAGAGGTAATTGTGCCGAGGGCTGTCCTAATGTACAGCTCCAGATATGCCACTGAGCTTGTGGTCTTTGTGTGAACAGTGCCTCCTGGAGATGTGCAGTGCACAGCTGGTGCAACTGTACATGGAAGCCCTAAACAGCTAACAAATGATGGAGTCCCTCCTGCAAACTAGGTCTGCTTGACTTGAGCTTTTAGTCAAAATGAAATATTGCCCCTCAAAGTCATGATTGAATCCATATACTATTGTGTTCAGTACCAGGGAATCAAAAAGTTATAGATCATGTGAAGATAAATGTCATATCATATTAGATATTGAGTACTAAGTGATTCTATTGACAATAATTCTATTATTGTATTGAAGACTTCTAGAAACAAGTAACAAAACATTTTCATTAAGCTCGATAGCTTGAAAGTATAATCTCTGGAGGCTTTTCCCCCCAGGGCTCAATACACATATGCTATATTTTCCCAAAAGCAGAAGAAATCTCACCGGATTGGTTTAGTAGGTCCTTCTGGTCCATCCATCTCATAAGATAAAACATTATCCCATTTAAATTGTAGGTTCCAGTCAAAAGCTCCCCTTACAACAGGAAAGGGCTTATACTTCAGGGTTCTATAATCAATGACATCTATCACGGGGCACACCACCATTTTGGGGTCCTTGGCAATGGCATGCAGCAGGGGCTCCAGCCATACTCTGTTCACCTCACAGTGGCTGTCCAGGAACACCAGAATGTCCCCTGGGGAGGCAAGAACAGGGCAACGTTAGTCCACATAGCTGAAAAATATGGCAATCCAAATCAAAGTTCAATGCAATGAATATTTCTTGAGCATTTACTCTGTGTGGGCTCTTACAGTGCTTTCAGTTTCATTGGGAGGAAACAAGAAATACATTATTATGTACAAAAATATGCAACATCATTTGCCATAGATGTTCAGAGGAAGCCAGTAATTGTGGGTTAGAGAGTCGTTTCAAGGGGAATTCTAAAGGAGTAGGCGGAAGGAACTGAGCTGGACTTCCATTTAAAAAAATGATTTTAGCTTGGTCTTGATTGATCAACTTAAATTTAACAAATTTTCAGGCCAGGCACGGTGGCTCATGCCTGTAATCCTAGCACTGTGGGAGGCTGAGGTGGGTGGATCACCTGAGGTCAGGAGTTCAAGACCAGCCTGGCCATCATGGTGAAACCCATCTTAAAAAAAAAAAAAAGAACAAATTTTCTTCGAGAGGACACCTTAGGCATTGAGTTTGGTGCATGGGATGGAGACATACATCATTAGTTTTGCTCTTGAGTTCAAACCTTTTTATCGCCCAGGCTGGAGTGCAGTGGTGTGATCTTGCCTCACTGTAACCTCCACCACCCAGGTTCAAGCAATTCTCCTGCCTCAGCCTCCCAAGTAGCTGGGATTACAGGCACATGCCACCACACCTGGCTAATTTTTGTATTTTTAGTAGAGACAGCGTTTCACCATGTTGGCCAGGCTGGTCTCAAACTCCTGACCTCAGGTGATCCACCTGTCTCGGCATTCCCAAAATGCCCGTCAATGGATGAACGGAGAAACAAACTGTGGTACATGACAGAATGGAACATTATGCACTCGTAAAAAGGAAGAAGTACTGACACATCCACCATGTGGATGAACCTCAAAAATATCATGCTAAGTGAAAGAAGCCTGACACAAAAAGTTACATACGGTATGATTCTGTTTCTATGAAATATCTAGAAAACAGACAACACAGATTGGTGGTTGCCAGGGACGGGAGGGAAGGAAGCTGCTTAATGGGTAAGAGGTTTTCTTTTCAGGTAATGAAAATGTTTTGGAGTTAGAGTTGATGGCTGTACAACATTGTGAAGGTGTGAAATGTATTCAATTGTTCATTTAAAAATGGTCAGTTTTATGTTAATCTCACCTCAATAAAAAAAATTCTGGTTAAATTTTTTTT